ACTTGGTAGCCCAGGCTGGCCTCGAACTCACAGAGATCCGCCTGGCTCTGCCTCCCGAGTGCTGGGATTAAAGGCGTGCGCCACCACCGCCCGGCTTGCCTCAGCCTTTGGAATAGCTGAAATTTACAGGCCTGTTTCAGCAAGGCTGGCTGACACTTGTATTCTATCGTCTCATTCCCAGGTTGTATTTTGATGGGATTAAATCTGTTCAGTAAAGACAAGCTTAGTGTTGCACACCTGTTACCTCAGTACTTGAGAGCCAGGAGTGCCATGAGTATGGGGCTAGCCTGGGCTACATAGTGAGTTCTAGGCCAGTCAGAGCTGTATTGTAAGACCCCCCTCAAAAATAAATCTGAAAATAAAAGAACCAGGTGGGAATGCGCAGTGAGACTCTGGAGCAACTGTCTTGTAGCAGATCTAAGGTGCTTCTTTTTTCTTTTCCCTTAGCCCATGTCCCATCAGCATGGCTCATCTGTAAAAGCCTTACTATTGAAGCCCTGACTGAAGCTGCAGACATGTGAATATGGCCCCTTTGGGAGATGATACTTTCCCAGCACAGGAAATAAATGAAGATGTTTTGTTGTTTGATTTTTTTATATGTAGTTCTAGTTGTGGAACCCAGGGCCTTGAACATGCCAGGCAATCACTACTTTTGATCTCACACTCAGCCCTAGCAATTAATTTTGTTTTGTTTTGGTCAGAGCCTTGCCATGCCCTAGATGGCCTAGCACTGTGTAGCATAGGCTGGCCTCAAACTCTGCAGAATTCCTCAGCATCTTCCTCTCAAATGGTGATGTTTGTTTTGTTTGAGGCATTCTTGTGTAGCCCATGCTAGTCTATGTAGCTGAGGCTATATTGGAACTAATCCTCCTGCCTCTACCTGCCTCCACCTCCCAAGTGCTAGGATTACATGTGGGACCATCCTTAGCTAAGTTTTTAAATGTAAAGGTAGTTTCCTTATTCTCTTTTTCCTTAAGAATATAAGAAATAGGAACCATTGTACTAAAAAAAAAAAAAGGAAAGAAAGAAAGAAAGGAAGAAGAAAAAAAAGAAATAGGAACTACTTTATTTTTTAATACTTACAATGCTAAGAGTTATGTTGACCTTCCAACTGCCACATTTCTGAGTTCTGTTTTCCAATTTAATGTTAGTTTTAGAGCGAAAAATATCTATGCGAAAACCAAGAGAAGAGCTGGTTAAAAGAGGGGTTCTATTGGAAGACCCTGAGCAGGGTGAGTTCCACACGATCAGCATATGCCTGTCTCTACATGTGGTCTTTCGCTGGGTCTCACCAGGGGTTTGAATTTTCTTCCTGTGCTTTACTCTCACTGAAGTTATGGTGGAGGAACATTTTAAAAATGATTCCCTATTTCTTCCTAGGTATCTGGCTTCACTCTTAAGCTGTGAAATAGAATGATTGGTGAAGGGTCCTGGGAGCAAAGATTCCATGTGTGTCTTCCTCCAACTTGTCACCTGCATTGGTGACAGCTATTTCAGATTGCCTGTTGATAGTTTGGACCAAATTGCCATCACCTCCATGCTCATCTTACAATGATGACTCATTGACGTTTTAGTACCCATTGCTAGTTAATGATGTTGAGACTGTCTTGTGTGGCTGTTATAAAGCAGTGGATTATAAATGTAAAACACAGTATTATACCTTGATTTATTTCATTTCTCTTCAGTTTCATAGACGGAACAGTTTACTACTTTTGTGGAATTGCCATCTTGCTCCCTTTCTCTCCTAAAAATAAGAAGATGGCTCAGTGGTTAAGGGTACTTGCTACTCTTACAGAGGACCTGGGTTCAATTCCAAGTACCCACGTATATCTTACAGCCATCTGTAACTCCAGTTCCAGGTGACCTAGCACCCTCTTCTGGCTTCCCCTGCCACCAGGCAAGCACGTGGTGCACTGCTGTGGGATCCTTCTGTACACTGTGAATGTGTGTTTCTCTCATTGGTTAAGAAAAAGCTGACAGGCTGGCAGTTGGTCAGGAAGTTAGTCAGGAAAGCCAACCTGAGAATGATGGGAAGAAGGAGAATGGAGTCAGAGAGACACCAGCAGACACTGAAGGAGCAAGATGCCAGAGCACTGGTAAGGCATGGGCCACATGGTGATGCAAAGATGAATAGAAATGGATTAACTTAAATGTAAGAGCTAGTTAGTAATAAGTTTGAGCTACTAACCAAGCATTTATAAGTAATATTAAGCCTCTGAGTAGTTATTCAGGAACTGGCAGGCAGGAGAGAACCATCCATTTACAGTGCACATACATGCATACATGCAAACAAAACACTAATACACTTAAAAATCAGCAACAAAAGATTTTTAAAAATTAGCCAGGTGGTGGTGGTGGCGGCAGCACACACCTTTAATCTCAGCAGAGTAAGTGGAGGCATAGGCGGATGGATCTCTGAGTTTGAGGCCAACCTGTTCTATAGAGTGAGGTCTAGGACAGCCAGAGCTACACAAAGAAACCTGTCTCAAAAAACAAAGAACAAAACAAATTTAAATTACTAAACTTAAAAGTACATTACTAGAGAGATGGCTCAGCAAGTAAAGGTACTTCAGGGAATTGATAGCCACAAGTTGTCTTCCAATCTCAGTATGTGCTCTATGACATATGAGCCATGCACATACATACCCATGCACATGCACACATCCATAAATAAAAGTAAGGATTTCAAAAAATAATTAAAAAGCCAGGCATGATGGCACACACCTTTAGTCCCAGTACTTGGAAGTCAAAGGCAGATGGATCTCTGTGAGTTCTAGGCCAGCCTGATCTACAGAGTAACTAGACTAGCCAAGGCTACCCAGTGATAACTCACTCAAAAAACAAAAGAAAATAAAGTACATCTGGTCATAGTGGTACATACCTATAACCTCAGGAGGCAGAGTCAGGAGCATTACCAAGTTAAAAACCAGCCTGGTGTACACAGAGAGCTCTAGGCCAGTCGGGATAGATGGTAAGACTCTGTCTGGAAAAGCTAGTTTATTAATTAACCAGTTAATTAATTTAATAAAAATACACCAAGGTGTGGTATGTCACACCTATAATCCAACAACACTAGGAGACAGAGCCAGCTCAATCCAGTTCAAGGCTAGTCTAGGCTGAGTATGAGACCTTGCTTCAAAACAAATAATTAGTAGAAATGCCTTACGGTTTCTTTAGCTTTAGAGATATATTTTATTTATGACTTGGCTTTCCTTCAATACTTTAGTCCAAACTCCACTGCTTTCTGGGCATGCTTGAAGGATACCATCTAATCTCTTAGTGGGCGGTGATATGTTGGCTGACAGGAGCTAGTCTGTGAGAAGTTATTGGACTAATCTTAAAAATATCAAAAGATGAGAATACATGTGTATGCACACACAAATAAAATAAAACAAATCTTTAAATGACATTACTCTAAGCATTACTGTGGGAAGCAAGGAAAGACACTAATACCACTCTGTGACAAGGATATGAGACTTTCAGTCCCTGACCTCACTGTTTTTTCTTTGTTCTCTCTCTCTCTCTCTCTCTCTCTCTCTCTCTCTCTCTGTCTCTCTCTCTCAAGATTTATTTATTTATTATGTATACAGTGTTCTGCCTGCATGTATGCCTACACACCAGAGGAGGGCACCAGATCTCATTACAGATGGTTGTGAGCCACCATGTGGTTGCTGGGAATTGAACTCAGGACCTCTGGAAGAGCAGTTAGTGCTCTTAACCTCTGAGCTATCTCTCCAACCCATTTTGCTCTCTCTTTTTTTAAAATATATTTTAAAAATATAGTTATAGATCTTTATGTATGGGTGTGTTGCTTGAATATATGTCTGTGTACCATGTGCCTCCCTGGTGCCCTTGGGAGACTAGAAGAGTACATTAGATCACCTGGAACTGGAGTTACAGACAGGTATGAGCTGCCGTGTGGGTACTGAGAATTGAACTCAGGTCCTCTGCAAGAAGTGCTCTTAACCACTGACTCTGGCCCCTGACCTCACCATTTTTAACCTTGTCTTCTAAATAAGTCTAGGAGAAAGAACTTCAGGCACTGGGGATGTTTATCTAATTACTCCATGAAAGATCTCACTTCCTTTTCCACGGCCGTGTGTGATAATCAAAGGCTTCCCACCATTCCAGGCTAGTGGCCATCCTTGTAGTTTAGTGTGTAGGGAATCTCTGTGTATATCATGTTAGCGTGGATTCACCCTTCTCGCCCCCTGGCTCCCCTCAGTCACCCCCTGCTGTTTTTCCATGTACAGTGAAATAGTAGTTTCTCTTCCTTTTCCTGTTCAGTCATTGCCTGTCTACAACCCTTCCTCCTAACAGGTTCCAGAGCCATCCTTCTGCAAGACAGACAACATTACATATCCCTGCTCCTTCTAATCCTTGGGATTCTGGTTTCATCCAAGATTTATTTCTAGCTTCTTTATGCATGTTTAATAATCTTCAGCTCAGTCCCTGCTTGCCTTTACAGTCCTACACATAATCATTGTAGTCCTACTCACAACCGTGAATACCTAGTCTCTAATACTGTACTCACTGCCAGTCCCTGATCATAATTTTAGCCTTTATATATTATTGCTTCTTTTTTAAAAGACTTATTTTTAAATTATGTATATGTGTCTGTGTCAGGGTTGTGTGCATATGACGGCAGATGCCTACATGGGTCAGAGGTGTAAGATCCCTGGAGCTGTAGTTACTGGTTATTGTGAGCTGCCTGGCATGGATGCTGGGAACTGAACCTAGGTCCTCTGCAAAAGCAGAATGTGCTCTTAACCATTAAGCCATCTTTCCAGTGCCTCCTATTGTCTTAGTTTAAATAGTCTATCTTTTATCCATGTGGTGGGCTTCTGTTCCTTTTTCAGAACCTACCGCTTTCTGTGGTGCTTCCCCAAACCCTTTCCCACCCCGGAAGAATGGAGTTTTTATCTTCATTCTTACTATAGCCTTTCTATCACAAGTGTCCTTTTCCTCCTCAGTGCTGGGTGTAGGTCACAGGGCCTTATATATGCTAGGCAAGTATTCCATGGAGCTTTACCCCCACCTTAACATTGTCATATATATGTATGATAGATTATTTATGTAGCACGTTACTTGATGTAGTAGACAATAAGTTACCTTTTGAAATAGGAACTACTTATTTCTGCTCCAGATAACACAGATTTCAATAAGAAGCCTATGTATTAGAAAGCAGGCGGTAAGAGAGGTTAGAAACCGCCAGCTCTTCCCATCTGGCCATGCCAGGCCCGTCACTTAGCTCTTTTCTTTGTCTTCTTGCAGGTGGTGAGGAGCCAGGAAAGCTGAGCCATGCCACATTAAAGAATGGCCACACGACCCCCATCGGGAGTGCCCGGTCTCCTAGTCCAGTCCTAGTGGAAGAAGAGCCAGTGAGAATATCAAGTCTTAGGAATCTTAACCCAGAAGAGGATCCAAAGAAGAGACTCGGTAAAATGGGTGTTTGAGTTTGAAAGCCACAGACTGTTCTCATTTTCCTCAGGGCTGCAAGAGAAGTCAGGTGGAGGCTGGGAGGAGGGTTTGTGTTCTTGAGAAACTGTGTCTCCTCTGCTTGTTACTCCCAGCCTTTCCCCAGGCTCCTAAATTTATGATTCTTTCTCTGCCTCTTTATTTTTTGTTTGTTTGTTTGTTTGTTTGTTTGTTTGTTTGTTTGGAGACAGTGTCTCTATGTGTAGACCAGGCTGGCCTCAAACTCAGAGATCTTCCTGCCTCTGCCTCCCAAATTCTGGGGTTAAAGTCATGGGACACCACACCCACTCACTTCTCCATCCTCATTCTTTGACCCAGAGTCTCACTCTGAAGCTCAGACTGGCCTTGATCTCATGGTGGTCTTCCTGACTTAGCCTCCCACATGCTGGGTTTCAGATGGGAGCCGTCACACTTAGCTCTCCTGTAGGATTTTGTCAAGCTCCACATTTGTGTTCTCCCCAAGGAATTTTGTATGTGTTTTTATGGGTACAGGTCCATATGCATGTGGGTGCTAGAAGTAGCACTGGTGTCTCCTTTTTGTTCTCCACCTTTTTATTTTTTCCCTTTTTTGGGGGGTGGTTTTAAAATTTATTTTTTATTTTTATTTATTTATTTATTTATTTTGGTTTTTCCAGACAGGGTTTCTCTGTGTAGCTTTGCGCCTTTCCTAGAACTCGCTTTGGAGACCAGGCTGGCCTCGAACTCACAGAGATCCAACTGCCTCTGCCTCCCAAGTGCTGGGATTAAAGGCGTGCGCCACCACCGCCTGGCTTAAAATTTATTTTTTTTAATTTAATTTAATTTTGGTTTTTCAAGACAGTTTCTCTGTGTAGCCTTGGCTGTCCTGGATCTAGCTCTGTAGACCAGGCTAGCCTCAAACTCAGAGATCTGCTTGACTCCTTCAGTTCTGGGATTAAAGGCCTGTGCCACCACCGCCCATCTTATTTATTTATTTTGAGACAGCATTTCTTACTGAACCCAGAGCTCACTGCTAAGCTAGAATGGAAGGCCAGTAAGCTCCAGTGATCTTGTCTCTACTCCACCCCCAGCACAGCTCTAGGGTTAGAACCCAGCTTTTATGTGAATGTGGAGTGGTGCGTTTATCTAATTACTCTTTATCAGTCAAAACTCAGGAGTCAAATAGCAGGGTCAGAACCTGAATGATCAGAGAAGCGGTGCGGTGGAGAAGTGACCAGTGACCTCCTATCTCTTTCCTTCCTTCCCACCCCTCCCTACTACTTCCTGTGTCTGTCTGTCCTCAGTCCTCCAAAACCTCTATGGTTAATTTTGGTCAGCCAGTAGCTAGCTCTGCCCTCCGATCCGAAACAAACTTTATTGTCAATCTCAGTGTGCAATCAAAGTATCACACAACAGTAGAGATCTGAACTCAGTCCTCATGATGGTGTGGCAGGCACTTACTGACGTGTCCTTGGTAGTAGGCTCTTGAAGGAAACATCATTACCCTTACTGAGCCTCTCTTCTGGACACTCCCTAAACATGCCTACAGGCAGCTGGAAAGGGGTCTGTAAACTAATTTGTAAATTCACTGATGAAGTTGGTTGTAGATGTGTTCACACTTTCAGTCTCTTCCTTTTGAAATCCTCTTTTATGGCACAGGCTCCACTGGAAGCCAGCCAAACTCTGAAGTGGTGTCTGCTCCTGAGCACGCAGCTAAGCAGCCTCTGCTCCCCCCAAGAAGACTCTCGTCCTCTTCTTACGAAGCAAGCGAAGGGCAAGCAAAGGAGGCTGTGTCTGGCAGTGCCTCGAGGTCCGTCTCCTCCACTTCTGGCTCTACCACCATGACACCTGCTGTCACCACTGCTGCCCCAAACCTCACAAGGACTGCTCATCCCTCTGTCGCCCCTGCCCCAGCCCCCAGGACTCTGCTGTTTCCTGCTGCCACAGCCGCCAGCACTACCGCCCCCCCTGCCAAGCAGCCCCCCATCCCCCCTCCTAAACCAGCCCACAGAAACAGCAACCCTGTCATTGGTGAGTCCTTGGATTTGGGGTGGGCATTTGGTTTGGTTTGGGTAGTTATTTTATTGAATGACTGCTAGATTGCTGATTGCGTCTATGAAAGACTTTTCTAACTCATCTCTTGGAATATTCTCAATATAGAAAAAAGTTTTAGAGCCAGGCAGTGGTGGCGCACGCGTTGAATCCCAGCACTTGGGAGGCAGAGACAGGCGGATCTCTGTGAGTTTGAGGCCAGCCTGGTCTAAAAAAAAAAAAAGAAAAGAAAGAAAGAGAGAGAGAGAGAGAAAGACAGAGAGAGAGACAGAGAGAGAGACAGAGAGAAAGAAAGAAAGAAAGAAAGAAAGAAAGAAAGAAAGAAAGAAAGAAAGAAAGAAAGAAAGAAAGAAAGAAAGAAAGAAAAAGACAAAAATGGTCATGAATTAGAAACGTCAGTAAAATTAAGTTGAAATATGGGGAAATTAATATGTTTTATTATATAAGTATTACAAAACTAACTTTAACATTGCTAATTTAATTTATTTATTTGATTTTAGGGTTTTTTTTTAAAGATTTATTTATTATGTATACAGTGTTCTGCCTGCAGGCCAGAAGATGGCGCCAGATCTCATTACAGATGGTTGTGAGCCACCATGTGGTTGCTGGGAATTGAACTCAGGACCTCTGGAAGAGTAGCCAATGCTCTTAACCGCTGAGCCATCTCTCCAGTCCCTTGATTTTAGTTTTTCAAGACAGGGGACAGGGTTTCTCTTTATAGCCCTGGCTGTCCTGGAACTCACTCTGTAGACCAGGCTGGCCTTGAATTCACAGAGATCGACCTGCCTCTGCCTCCCAAGTGCTGGGATTAACGACGTGTGTCACCATCGTCTGGCTGAGAATTACAGTTTTGAAAATTTAAAAAGAATATTCCCTAGAACTAGGCATTGGTGATACTTGGGAATGTGTCAGGTGGTGGGGGCAGGAGAATCATGACTCAAGGATATCATCTTTGGATATGTGAGTTTAAGGCCAGCCTGAGCTACATGAAACTCTGTCTCAACTCCTCTCTCTCTAAAAAAAACAAAACCAGCAGTAAGAAAAAAATCCATTACCTATAGTTGATGGACTGGATATTGAAGGCAATTGACCATCCTGGTGAGACCTTTGGTCTCACTGAGGAAATAAGAGTAATGGCAAGGTTCACAAGGGGCAAGGTGAGTGTCTCATCTGCTTTAAACTATCAGTTCCTTCTCTAAACATAAGTCCAGTAGCTAAAATGATAGTTTTGTCAGTGTCCTACCTTGTGATTCAGTGTCCAGTACAGTATCTTCATGCGAACTACAGAGGCATTTAAGTAGTACTGATAACATCATGTTTTCTCTCGGGAGAGTTAAAATGCTACTCTTGCCAGGTGTGGTGGCGTGCTGTAAACTGAGCACTCAGGAAATAGAGACAGGCGAGTTTGTCAAAGCTGAGACTGTCCTGGTCAGCATAACAAGTTCCAGCTCGGAGTCTGTAGATCCTGTCTTAAAGATAGATGGATAGATAGATGGATGGATGGATAGATAGATAGATAGATAGATAGATAGATAGATAGATAGATAGATAGATGATAGATAGATAGATAGATAGATAGATAGATAGATAGATAGATAGATAGATAAAAAAAAAATGATGGTAAAGGAAGCCAGGCCTGCTAGAACAGGCCTATGATTGATTTCAGCTACTCAGGATTGCAAATTCAAGGCCTACACGGTCAGTCTTAAACTTCGTGAGATCCTGTCTCAGAATGTTAAAGAACAGTGAGCTGGCTGGTGTGCGTGCATGTGTGCATGCGTATGTATGTATGTATGTATGTATGTATGTGTGTGTGTATAGTTCTAGCCTAGTCGGGACCACTACAAAATGAAAGCAGGGAAGTGTATCAGTATATGTTTATAGGCTTAGTAAATTACTTTGCATTTCCTAAAGTCTTGCTTAGGTCTATTTTCCTATCATAATTGCACTTCATACAAGAATTTTCCAGAAAGGGAAAGTGTTGTAAGTGTTTCAGAGCTAATGAAAGTGTAATTTTTCAGGAAAAACAGTATTAGGCTTAAGGTTCTTGCTAATGATTGCACAGCTAATGAATAAAAAGTATCCTCATTAAGACTCTTAATGTCATTCAGCTGGGTGGAGTGACCAGAACCTTATCAGGCTTCCAGAGTAGCGTTGGACAGACAGGTTGGAGTAGGACCGTAGGAACAGGATCATCACAAGAGCGACACCTTAGTGATGATGTGGTCCTGACTTAGCTCTGAGGAACCTGAGGAGCGTTCACATGGACTTTCAAAACCACCTTGGGCTGTAGTGAGTGATTGTATCTGTTACATGCAGAGGCAATTAGAAATGCAGATGTTGTGACTCACAAGGTTGTAACTAATGTGGGACAGAAACTCACCTCTGATCTAGACAGTGTGGTTCTCAGGCTGTTAATGGAGTTCACCTAGAAGGTCCTCATGGATGAGGGAACACTGATCCCAGAGGCTCTGATGTCAGCCCAGCCTAGGGCCTGTGAGTCTGTGAATAGATTCACAGAAGATGTTCATGCTGCTACTCCTGGAACAATTTGATATGCTCCTACTCGGGGACGGTGCTGTTTCTTAAGTTTTGGCAACACCTAAAATAACTAACTGGCTGTGGTGCTCCACACCTATCATCTCAGTACTGGGGAGGTATGAGTTTAAGGTCATCCTCGGCTTCATAGTAAGTTCAAGAATTGATAGCCCAGAGCAACAGGCCTTGTGACCTAAGACAGGTTATTATTCCTAAAACAGGAACATTATTCCATGACAGGCCCTCACAGAAGAAAAAAGGATAAGTCAGAGTTTTTATTAAGATTAGATAGGATTTAAAAGTTAGACCTTATTCTAAAATTAGTGACCTTCCTAATGCTTTGATTCTAAAGTACTGTTTCTGTCAGAGAAAGATTATGATCACAAATGGTTTACTTAGTATCAGCTGTTACTTAGAAATGATAGGCTGGGTTGTGGGGGTGGGAATCTTTGGAGAGATGACTCATCAGTTAAGCACACTTCTGGTTCTTTCAGAACTAGTGGGGCTGATGTCCTGTAGTGTTAGCTCCAGGGGACCCAGTGCCCTTTTCTGGCCTCTGTTGGCACCCACACACAAACACATAAAAATAGAATAAAGCTCTAAAAGTAGAAAAAGAAAAATCTCTTAGGACCCAGGAGAGAGCTCAGTCTGTAAAGTACATACATGCCTTTGCAAGCATAAGGACCTGTGTTGACCCCTAGAATTCACCTTAAAAAAAGTTGGTATGATGGTGCCCTGTGAGTGCTAGGGAGACAGGCAGTGTTATGAGGCCTTGGCGGGTTGGGCCAAGGTGCCTTGGTGGGACATGCCATGCATATGTGGTGTGGGGCTGCAGGGTGAAGCGGTGGAAAGTTACTCATACCATGCAGACGGGGCATCCACATGGCGAGTTTTATTATTAAAGGGAGAGAGGAAAGAGAGGGAGGGGGAGGGAGAGAGGGAGGGAGGAAGGAAGGTACAAGCTCACTACATTGAGAGGGGGGGAGGAGGGAGGGAGTGAGGGGAGAGGGAGAGTGAGAGTGGGGAGGAGTTTTTTCTTAAAGGGGACTTGATGACATCAGGACGCTGGGCAGGTCCCCAAGAGGCGGTTCAGAATACTCAAAGGCAGGTGGATTCTTGGGATCACAGGCCAGTCTAGCCTAATTGGCAAGCCTTGGGTCTCAGTGAGAGACTCTCTTAAAAAACAAGATTAAAGCCAGGTTGATGAGTTCCAGGCCAACCTTGTCTACATAGTGAGTTCAGGCCAACCTACAGGCTACATAGTGAGACCCTGTCTCAAAAAAATTTAAGCGATTTATTTCATCAATTAAAAATTAAAATGCTCACCAGGGTGATGGAGGGCACACCTTTAATCCCAGCTCTTGGGAAGCAGATCTCTGTGAGTTCTAAGCTAGTCTGGTCTACAGAGCAAGTTCCAGGACAGCCAGAGCTGTTGTTACACAGAGAAATCATGTCTCGAAAAACAAAAACAAAATTAAAATGCTCAAATATGGTCTTATTGTGGTGAAGGACCACACCTTTAATTCTAGCACTCAGGAGACAGAAGCAGGCAGATCTCTGTGAGTGTGAGGCCAGCCTGGTCTACAGAGTGAGTTCTTTTTTTTTTTTTTTTTTGGGGGGGGGGGTTTCGAGACAGGGTTTCTCTGTGTAGCTTTGCGCCTTTCCTGGGACTCACTTGGTAGCCCAGGCTGGCCTCG